AGCGCCAGCACCTCCAACAGCTCCAGAACCTCCAGCGCCAGCACTCGCAGCAGCTCCAGAACCTCCAGCTCAAGCGCCAGCAGCAGTAGCACCCCAAGAGCCGGCACCTCCAGCTCCAGGGCCCCCAACCTCAGAGTCGACAGCAGCACCTCCAGGTCCAGCAGGACCTCCAGTCCCAGTAGCTCCAGTACCTCCAGTACGAGCACCTCCGGGACCAGCTGCTCCAGGAACTCCAGTAGAAACAACACCAGTAGTAGAGTCACCAGCTCCAGCGCCTCCAGCAGCAGGGCCCCTAGCTCCAGCAGCGAGACCCTTACGGCTAACGTACCACTCACGCAGCTGCTGTGGGGAGAGAGGGACATCGCCGGCTCCAGTGCCTCTAACACCAGCACCTCCCGCAGCAGGGCCCCCAGCTCCAGCAGCTCGACCCTGACGGCTAACGTACCACTCACGCAGCTGCTGTGGGGAGAGAGGGAGACGACGACGAGAGTGCAGCGGCGAGGCACCAGCGGAGCGACTACGGAGACGGACGCTCCAGGGAGACTGCTCACCAGACGCCTCAGCGCCCCCAGGTGCAGCACCCCCAGACTCAGTACCCCCAGGCTCAGCAACCCCAGACTCCTCACGCCCAGGCCCAGCACCTCCACGCTCCGCACCCCCAGGCTCAGCACCCCCAGGCTCCGCACCCCCAGGCTCAGCACCCCCAGAAGCAGCACCCCCAGGCTCAGCACCCCCAGGCTCCGCACCCCCAGCAGGACCTGAGTCACCAGTGACCTCAACCGGCGCAGACAAGGGAGGAGGGTCTACCTGAGACACACCTGAAGGAGCAGGACCGGGAGCGGGGAGGGGGTCTACCTGGGGAGCACCTGGAGCGAGGAAGAGCGGCGGGGGGGGGGAGAGGGGCAGTGCGGTAGGGGAAGAGACGGTAAAAGGGAACCGACTCGTCGAACGTGACATCCTGAGAGGGGAAGACACGGCGCGAGGTGGGGTGGTAAAACTGCCAACCAGGCGCGTCAGGGACAAAGCCAAGGAAGACACAGGGAACAGCGCGGGCGGAGAGCTTGTCCGCGGTGGTATCGCGGACAAAGGCACGAGAACCCCAGACCCGGAACACCGACGCATCGCCAACCTCCTCCGTCCACCGCAGTGTGGGCGAGGTCTCCGGCAAGGAGACACGGGGCCAGAGGTTGAGCTGATGCGCGGCGTAGCGGACCGCAAACGGCCACAGAAAATGGGGGGCAGCCGCATGGACCATGGAGGTACGAGCGACCTCCATGACCAAGCCAATGCGGCGCTCAGCAACCCCATTCTGCTGCGGAGAGGCCGGAAGCGTGAAAGTCTGGCGAATGCCCTCCCCACGACAAAAGCTCTGCAGAAGGTCGGAGGAAAACTCCCCACCTCTGTCAGAGTGCAGACGCAGGACGGGAAAATCCGTCCCGAACCGCTCGCGGAGCTGGAGACGGGCAGCGCGGATCCAAGGGATCAAAACATCAGGGACCTCACCCTTGGTGCGCAAGGGGAAGACCGTGGTGTAACGCGAGTAGTCGTCAACAACCAGCAGGAAGTACCGCTCGCGGTCCTGCCCACGGACGCGGGCTGGGCCCCACACGTCCATGTGCAGGGTCTGCAGGGGAGCAGTCGTTGGGGGAAACGAGGAGGAGTGAGGAGCGGCGCGCTGCCGCCCCTCGACACAGGGAAGACAGGGAGGAGCAGGCGAGGGTGGGAGAACCCTGGGAAGACCAGAGACAAGAACACGGCGGTGCATGCTACGAAGGCGCTGCACCGAGGGGTGACCAAGGCGGTGGTGCCAAAGGAGGGTCTGGTGCGACAAAGCGCGACACGAGCAGGGGGCCGCTAGCTGACCTGACGCAGACGCAGGCGCAGCGACCTGAGGGGACACAGTAGTCAGTGTGTACAGACTCGAGCCAGGCGCACGGGTAAACGTGGCCAGGTGCCGGCCCGTCCGGGAGCACGTACAGTGGGACACACGCTGACCTCCAGGGGTGAACTGGTCAACCCACTGGTCCTGGAGGTCAGCTCCACTCACCAAGTTCGTAGAGAACGATGGGAGGTGAAGACCTAACAGGGAGCCAGACGGGACCGCCGGACACGGCAGGACCGTGGAGGAGTGCGCAAGGACTGGACCCCCAGAGGGGTCTGCCAGGGAGACTGCAACCGGCCGACGGAGCGGCGTGAGGGTGGTGCTGTCGCGAAAGAAGGAGCGAGAAGCACCTGAGTCAAGCGTGAAGGTGTACAAGGCCTCAGCAGTCGCAGTACCAGAGAGAGCAGACTCACCAGCACCTGGAGCAGAAGCCTCATCAGCACCTAGAGCAGGAGACGCACTAGCACCTAGAGCAGCAGCGTCACCAGCACCTAGAGCAGCAGGCTCTATACCTGGGTCAGGCGGTACGCACAGGTAACAGGCACGGTCAGCACTACTAGGCAATGCATACATGGCAGTGAGAATAGCATCATAGTCAAGAGCAAAGATATCTACCCTCTGCCCAAGCAGCTCCAGCCAGGTGGGGAGCTCAGCCTCGTCGCCAAACTCGGTACGCCAGGCGTCGCTCAGACGGGCGAAGCAGCGGGACTGTGTGTGACCAAGCGTCCCGCAAGCCTGACCAGCCCGATCACCTGTGCGAATGACGTACGGGCAGCGAACGGTACTCCGAGAACCTCTACTCTGAGCGTACCACTCGTGAAGCTGCTGGGACGTAAGTGTCTCGCGTGGACGCCGCTGCAGCTGCAGCTGGCCACTGCCAGACTCTCCCAACTGACCAGCTCCAGGGCGACAGCTACGACGGCTACCGCCACAACCCCAACTAGCGTACCACTCACGAAGCTGCTGGGGCGGGAGAGACTCGCGTGGACGTCGCTGGAGCTGCATCTGGCCACCGCCAGTAGCAGCAGTAGCAGAAGTGGCAGCAGTAGCAGAAGTGGCAGCAGTAGCAGCAGCAGCAGCCTAGCAGTAGTAACAGTTCGGGCAGGGCAGGTGCGGCAGGCAGGCAGGCAGGCAGGCAGATGACGCGGCAGCGCGCGAACAAGGTAGGTGCTCACCAGTGGCGGGAAGGGCAGGCGCTCGCCGGGCAAGCAGGGCCGGCGCTCGGCGGGCGGCGGCCAGGTAGGCGCACGACGGCGGCGACGACGGGGCGCGACAGCTGCGGCAGAGCAGGGCCGCGTCGGCGATAGAGCAGGTCCGCGACAGCTGCTGCAGGGCGGGGCCGTGACCGCTGCAGGGCGGGGCCGCGAGGACTGCTGCAGGGCGGGGCCGCGAGGACTGCTGCAGGGTGGGGCCGCGACAGCAGCAGGAGGCTCCGCGGCAGCTTCTGCAGGGCGGGGCCGCGACCGTGGCAGGGCGCTCCGCGGCAGCTGCTGCAGAAGCGACGGCGGCAGTCAGGCAGGGTCGGCGTCCAAAGGGGGGGGGGGGGGGGGGGGGGGGGGTCGCGTCGAACAGGGGCAGCCACGGCGCGCGGGGCTGCAGCGGGCTACGCGAGCTGCGGGCGCGGCGCGCGAAGCCGCAGCGGGCTGCGCGAGGACGGCAGCCGCGGCGCGCGGGGCTGCAGCGCGACGCGCGGGCAGCAGACGCGACGCGCGGGGCCGCAGCAAGCAGCGCGGGCTGCGAACGCGGCGCGCGGAGCAGCAGCGAGCCGCGCGCGGGCTGCCGAGGCGCGACTCGGGCAGCTTGGGCGACGCGCGGGGCAAAAAACCGGGCCGCGCGCAGGAATCAGGTCTGCGCGCTCTAAGCAGCAGCAGACCGCGCAGTCAGCAGACAGCAGGCAGCAGGCAGACGGCGCGCGCAGCGCAGCACGTCACAGGCACAGTCACAGTCACAGTCGTGGGGTAGCAGTAGGTGGGCCCGAAAAAAAAACGGTCCTACGGACCTACTGCTCTGAAACCATGTCAGAATCTAGAGACAGGAATGAATGAACTATGAAAGAGTTGGGTACAAGTATGAAACCCTAAAAGGGGCTGTACCCCATATTGGCTACTCCACTACAGCCTACACATATATAACATGCATATACTTTGACACACACAAGGTCCACCTATAACCCAAAGGGATAGAGTACAAGGGGATATTGCCGGCGTGCATCCCAGCACGCCGTTCACTGCACCAGCCATGTAGAAGGACATTGCGCCTACTGCTGCACGTCGTCCTCGCCGACTTCGACAAGGCGGACCTGACCGATTATGATGGAGCAGCGGTTGGAAGCCGGAAAGTGCAGCGCCTTCGTGAGGATGTCCGCCGGCTGCTGGTTGGGGACTATGAACAGCACCATGCAGCCCCACACGCGTGCCAGCGTGAGGTACGGCTTAATTTTAAACATCAGCTCGTGCGGCGTCGTCCGCGAAGGCAGTGAATCCCGTTCGAGGCAGTTGCGCACCCAGACGGCCTGACGCAGGGCGAGATGCCACCAGTGGTGCTTTACGCCAATGTGAAGCAGCATCGTCCACATGGCCCATAGTTTTTGTTTTTGTTTTGTTTTGTTTGTTTGTTTTTGTTTTTTTACCGTATTTTCCCTGGGGCTTTAAGACGGGATATTAACGTAATGGTGAGCGTACGCGCTGTTGATCCGCATATTCATTACCATTCTCATAGTTTCCCTTTATTATTTTTGCTCTTGTCCACTTGTAAGTTGCATCCCAAATCATAACAACAGGATTAGGAGTAAGGACTGCTCTAAATGACACAGTACCAGAATAGTGATGGAGCATAGCGGGTTCAACCATCCAAGCAAGGTGTTCGAACATTTGAAATGGTGAAACACGAGCATGAAACAACAAAATTTATCGGGCTGTCCGTAAGGACTGTGGAGTGGCGTGCGGTGCAAAAGTACCAGAATTCGACAGTGCACCACTCTGTCTTCTAACCCTTATAACTGCCTTTCTTCTCCCGTAGATTGCTAGGTTCATTCTACTCTTACCGTCGCCGCCGCCCCGCTTTCTCTTTTGACGCAGAAGCGCGACTCGACTCGCCCGCCTTTGCGACGCGAGGAAGCATGGGCGCCGTGCAGGCGGACGAGATCGAAGCGGCTTTTAATCGGCGCGCTAGTGATTTCAAGCAGCAAGCCGAGTGAGTTCACTCTCGACTCGTACCGCGATAGACCCGATTGTTTTCAGATCCTGTCAATAGCTTGCGCGGCTTTGTGGCTGGGGTTCGGCAAGTGACTGTGCAGCGCAGATGAGCTGCCTTGAAACGAGAGCGGGCGCGAGATGAGGAGAGGGGGCGAGAAGAGACGAGAGGAGACGAATTGCGATGCGATGCGATTAGATGCTATGTTACGTCCCTCGAGCTGTGTTTCGCTACTCGCGTGTCTCTTCTCGACGAGCTAGGCTACTCAAGAGATCAACGGTCATCCTTCCCCTTCCCCCATCTCCCCGCGTTCCTTCCGCGCAGCACCATGACGCTCAAGGCCGTGCGGTTGGCGCTGGAGAGCGACATGGGGCTGGCGGCAGGCGCGCTGAACGCGCACAAGGACCTCGTGCGCGACCTCGTTGACCAGGTGCGTGCGCGACCTCGTTGACCAGATGCGTGCGCGACCTCGTTGATCAGGTGCGTGCGCGACCTCGTTGACCGCGTTGACCAAGTGCGTGCGCAACCTCATTGACCGCGTTGACCGAATGTGGGCGGGGTGGTAATGCTGTCGACCCCCGTGCATGTGGGGTGGTGATGCAGTTGGCCGGATGGTGCATGCGGGGCGTGAAGTGCACTGCAATCGGCTTGCCGTATGGGCTGAGATTTAGTTTTTAGGCAAACACAGAAAAAGAACGATCACCCGTATCGTATTGTTACTGATTTGCTTACCGTGTTGCATCCTGCCCCCTGCCCTTCCCATTGGGTTTGCCCTGCCAAGCGTGCAGCTGTTTTCTGACGAGGGGGATGTGGAAGAGGCACGGGGCAAGAAGGGCGGCAAGGGTGACGGCAGAAGGGGCGGTCAGAAGGTGGCCGGTGGAGTGGCGGCGGCAAAGGCAGGCAAGAAGGCGGGCGGGAAGGGTAAGCGGATAGAGAAAGGACGCAAGGGGAAAGAGGAGGAGGAGGAGGGGGAGGAGGAGGAGGAGGAGCAGCAGGCGGAGGGGGAGGAAGAGAAAAAGGAGGACGATGTGAGGGGAAAAGAGGGAGGCAAGGAGAGAGATGCAGAGGGGGATGAGGGCAACGGTACTGAGGAAGGGAAGGAGGGGAGTGAGGCTGGTGTTGAGAAGGATGAGGAAGAGGAGAGGTCGGAAGAGGAGGAGGAGGAGAAGGACGAGGAGGAGGAAGAGGGGGAAGAAGAGGAGAAGCCTAGGAAAGGGAAGAAGAAACGACCGAGAGGGCGTGTGGATGAGCGAGCGGAGGAGGAGGGGGAGGAGGAGGAGGCAGATTATGAAGACAGCGAGGGGGAGGAGAGAAGTAGGAAGAAGGGAAAGAAGAGGAAGGAGAAGCGTGCAGTGGGGAAGAGCAAGCGAGGGGGGGATGAAGATGATGAGGAGGAGGGGGACGAGGAGGCGGAGGAGGGGAGTAGTGGAGATGACGAGGGGGACAGACGGAAGTCGAGTGGGAGGAGCAGGGGCAGTGGCAGTAGCAAGGTGAGGAAGGAGGTGAGGGTCGCTGAGGAGGAAGAAATGTGTGTCGATAGATGCTTGCTCGTTGTTTACTTGTTTGCTTGTCTGTTTGTTTGTTTGCGTGTTTACTTGTTTATTTGTTTGCTTGTCTGTTTGTTTGTTTGTTTGTTTGTTTGTTTGTTTGTTTGTTTGTTTGTTTGTTTGTTTGTTTGTTTACTTGTTGATTTGTTTGCTTATGTAGATACTGTTGGTTTGTGTGAATGTGTGTTGGGGGCCTTTCTGACTAGCAAGTTATCCATATGTGTGTGCATGCGGGGGAAGAACAGGCATGTGTCAGCATGTCGTGTTCTGATGGTACCTGACGAAGGTGCCAATTCTGATTCTTGTGGTGTCAGCAAGGCCATACGAGCATGCAGCTTGTGAGAGCATGCAGCTTGTGAGAGCATGCAGCTTGTGAGAGCATGCAGCTTGTGTGCCCGCCTCTGCAGCAAAAGACTGCCCGTCCTGTCTGCATGGACACTTTCATACCCGTCCTCATCTTCTTTACCAATATGCCCCTACTTCTTCCCTCACTGAATCATATTTTCCGCATGTCCCTTCAAATCATCACCCCACCCCCCCACCCCATTCACCCTCTCTCCCCTTGCCTCTCATCACCTCCCCTCCCCTGTTCTCGCCCCCTTGACCCCTGCAGTCATCAGCAGCAGCACCGCGCAGTGCAGCAGTGGAGAGGCTAAAGAAGGTGTTCCAGGCATGTGGGCTCAGGTGAGGCGCTAGGGGCGGGCAGTGGTAGCGATCTCACGAGCTGCCTCAGTGGCAGCAGGAGGGAGTGTAAGGAGTAAGTGGAAGGTGCAAGCGGCAGGTCTCATGATGCCGGTGCTGCAGGCTTGTGCTGCAGGAGTGGTGGTGATGGTGTCTATGATGATGGTTCTGATAGTGACGATGGTGATGGCGATGGTGATGGTACGCTTGTTCATGGCATGACCTCTGTTCTACTGTAGCACTGAAATGGCATGGCATGGGAATGTAGCGTGGTCTGGCATAGTGTGGCAGTTCATTACATGCCATGGCATGGCATGGCATGGCATGGCATGGCATAACATGGCATGGCATGGCATAACATGGCATGGCATGGCATGGCATGGCATGGCATGGCATGGCATGGCATAACATGGCATGGCATGGCATAAGATCGCATTGCATAGTATAACATAGCATGGCATGTCGATCCCAAACTTCTCCCCCTTTTTTTTCGGTGCGCATAGAGATCCCCCACCTTCTTCGTCCCTCCCCCACCTTTTCAGGGTGCATCCATCGTGGGCCAGACAAGAAGGCTCAGCAGGCTGGTCTAGGCGAGGCATCAAGGATGGACACTTACGCCTATAACAATACCGCCTTCTCCTCTCCCCTCGTCCGTCTCCGCCCTTCCCAGGGTGCCGCCCAACGTGTACCTGAAGTCGCGGCAGGCAGCAGGCAGCAGGCAGCAGCGAGGCTGCAATCTCTGACACTTACGCCTATATAAGACCCTTCTCTCCTCTTCCCCCTACCCTTCCAGCCTTTCCAGGGTGCCACCCAACGTGTACAAGAAGGCGCGGCAGGCAGCAGGCGAGGCAGCAATGATTGACACGGCCACGTTCAAATAAAACCCTTCTTCTTTCTCCTCGTCATTCCCGGCCTTCCCAGGGTGCCGCCCAACGTGTACAAGAAGGCACGGCAGGCAGCAGGCGAGGCAGCGAGTGCAGGGCAGCACGAGGCAGCGCTGGTGGGGGAGCTGGAGGCTCTGCTCGACCGCGAAGGGCTCTCCTCCCACCCATCCGAGAAAGGTTGGTGGAGGGGAGCAGAGTAGTGGGGAAGCAGGGGGTGCGTGTGGGGGAAGAGTGGAGGTTCGGGGTGAGTGGGGAGGAAAGGTATTTGGTGTGATGTGTGAAGGGCTGGGTGAGACGGCACTGGTGGGGGAGCTGGAGGCGCTGCTAGTGCGAAGGGCTCTCCTCCCACCCATCGGAGAAAGGTTCCCGGGAGGGGAGAGTGAGGGAAGGGGAGGAGGGGGTGCGTGTTGGGGAAGAGGGGAGGTTTGGGGTGAGGGGGAACGGGAGGTGCTTGGCGTTGTGTGCGCAGGGGGGGTTGTCTTGGACTCTTGGTGCTGGTGTGGGAGCTGGAGGCAGTGCTGGAGTGCGAAGGGCTCTCCTCCCACCCATCCGAGAAAGGTGCCCGGGAGGAGGAGGTGGGGGGAAGGGGATGAAGGGATACGGGAGAGAGGAGAGAGTTAAGGAGTGAGGGGAGAGGGGAGAGGGGAGAGGGGAGAGGGGAGAGGGGAGAGGGGAGAGGGGAGAGGGGAGAGGGGAGAGGGGAGAGGGGAGAGGGGAGAGGGGAGAGGGGAGAGGGGAGAGGGGAGAGGGAGAGGGAGAGGGGAGAGGGGAGAGGGGAGAGGGGAGAGGGGAGAGGGGAGAGTGGGAGTTCAGGGGCGCGTTCTTGCATGCATGCATGCTTGCTCCATTCCAAACATTTTTTGCTCCATTCCATTCCACACGCATTTCTTGTCTGTCCTCCTCTCACCCCCGTTACAGTGAAGAGGTAATCACATTTAAATAAATTCCCTCCTCTCAACCCCTTCCACTCAAACCGAAGATCCTAGCATTCGCCCCCCCCCTCCCCTCTCACCCCTCCCCCCTTCCAACCCCTGCTGGCACGCGCACAGAGATCAAGGCATTCAGGCGTCGCAGGGACAAGGCAAAGGAGTTGGAGGGGATAGATGTGAGCAACATCGTGGATGCACCCCGAGGCCGCCGCTCCTCTCGCCCCACCTCCTTCGCTCCCCCCCAACCACCTCCCCGGCCGCCCTCAAAGCCTAAAAAGGGCGCTGGCGGGAGCGAGGATGGGGAGGGGGAGGAGGAAGAGGAGGAGGAGGGAGAAGAAGAGGACGAGGTGGATGAGGAGGAGGAAGAGGAGGAGAATGACTCGGAAGGTGGGACACGGGGACAGGGAGAGAGGTGTTGTGGAATTGTGATGGGAGGATCCAGGCTGGGTGGGGTTGGGGGGAGCAGGGTCGTGTGCATGCTTCTTCCTGTTTCTTCCTCGCGTTTTGAGGCGCCTCAAAAGTCGCCTCAAAAGGCGCCTCAAAAGCCAGGCCGGGTGGGGTTGGCGGGGGGGCAGGGTCGTGTGCATGTTTCTTCCTGTTTTATCCTCGCGTCACGCCCACTGCATCACAGCATCACAGCATCACAGCATCACGGCATCACGGCATCACTGCATCGATGCATCACAGCATCGCAGCATGTGCTTTACTGGCAACTAATATCTGTTCTCGTCCAATCCTTGATGATAATCGCGATGTGCATGCATTCTTCCATCCAGTCATACTGTATCCAAACCAGAGCATGAATACCAAGCTCTGCAAGCGTCATCCTTAAATCCTGCACCTTCCTTGCACCTTCCTTGCACCTTCCTCGCGACTTCCTTGCACGTTCCTTGCATGGACTCTGCATCGTCCATTGCACTATTGTCTTTCTTGATCCAGATTTTGAGCCGGACGACGACGACGAAGATGACTAGAACCCCAAGCCATGCCACGCCCAACTTCCTAACTCCCTCTGACTGTCTTATCTACCCGACATCATCACCCCACGTCGCTTGACGGCAGCTACACATGACTAGAACCTCAAGTCATGCCACGCCCAACGTCCTCTGGATAATCACCGTTGCAGCTTACCTTCTTGCTGGGATTACCTTCCAGCACTTCAAATGTTCTCCTCGGCCTTGTTAAGAGGAGAGAGATAGGCTGTCTAGGTTGTGCCTGCTGCACGAGTGTGTATCTCTGGCTTGGAAGCAACGAGTGTGTATCTAGGTGTCAAATGTTGTAGTCTTAGTGATGTGTGTTATACGGGGTACAACTGTTAGGGTTAGGTTTATGTACCCCAACCAACCTTAGTCGAACCAACACTTTCTTCATTCTTGACATGGTATCACCTAGGTTAGGATCCTGTGGGATCCCGTTCCTCTCGTTCACGTCCGTAGCGCCCGAGCCTGTCCCGTACCCTAGTGCTCGTTACGCCCGTACTGTCCCCTAGCGCCTATCGCGCTCGTCTCTCTTGTGCCCTAGCGCCCGTTGCGCCTGCCGTCGCGTCGCCCCTGCTGTCCCGTCCCGTCCCGTCGCCCCTGCTGTCCCGTCGCCCCTGCTGTCCCGTCGCCCCTGCTGTCCCGTCCCATCGCCCCTGCCCGTCCGTCGCGCCCCGTGCGCCCTGCCCGTCCATCGCGCCCCGTGCGCCATGCCCGACCGTCGCGCCCCGTGCGCCCTGCCCGTCCGTCGCGCCCCGTGCGCCCTGCCCGTCCGTCGCGCCCCCGCTGCGCCCTGCCCGTCCGTCGCGCCCCGTGCGCCCTGCCCGTCCGCGCCTGTCGCGCCCGTCCCTGCCAGTCGCGTCCTGTCCCGTCGCGTCGCACTGTCTGTCACGCCCTACGCAGGCCCTTTAGGCGTTTAGGGTTTCGGCAACAGCAGTATCCACCTCTACGCTTCCGCTATGGCGACCCCTAGGGTCCTGCGCTTTGACGCTGAGGGTAGGCCGCTCGAGTTCTCGGTCTGGATCCTGCGTGCGTGCCGCCTCCTAGAGAGCCAGGTTCCGGCACACGAGACTCTGTGGGCGCACGCTTCCGGTGACCTACCTGAGCTCGGTGACCCTGCACCCTTAGCAGCTGACCCCACACCTGCAGACAGTGACCGTTATGCACGCGAGCGTGCTGACGTGACAGCGTGGAAGTCGCGTGACGCTGCGGCCTGCATCGCCCTCAGCAGCCTCCTCCTTGAGTCTGAGGAGACCCACTTCACTCAGGTTCGCACGACTAGTGAGTTCCTGACTGCGATCAAGGCCCGCTACGCTACTCCCACCACTGTCTCTCTTGGTCGCCTGCTCCTTCCGTTCCTGTTTCCTGACCTCGCCTCGTTTGAGCGCACTGCTGACTTGATCACTCATCTGCGCTCGCTCGATTCTAGCTACCGCGCTGCTTGCACTGACGCACCGCTTGCATTGCTCCCTCCCCCCATGGCGATTACTATCTATTTCATCGCCACTAGCCTCCCTGACCGCCTTGCCTCGGTTCGTGACGCGCTTCTTCTGAAGCACCCTAGCGAGCTCACTGTCGAGGTCCTTGAGTCGGCCCTCAAGGACGTCGAGAGCAACCTCCGCTTGGTAGCCTCAGCCTCTGGTGCTGTGCCCCCTCCACTGTTCCACGGGTGCACTGTCCCTCAGCTGCCCACCTTTACTGCCTCCCTCGCCACTGCTGCTACTGACGTGACCGCAGCTGCTGTTACGACTTCTTCGCGGTCTCGGGGTAGGAGTGGCAGGAGGGGCGGTCAGGGTGCGGGCGGAGGCGGCGGAGGCAGTGGGGGTGATGTGGCGAGCGGCGGCGGCGAGAGTGCAAGGGCTGGAGGAGCGCCTCTTGCAGCGGCCGGTGACTCCCCTGCTGCAGCTGGTGGAGGTGACGCTCGGGTTCGTCAGCCACCTACTGGTCTACCAGCCGCAGTGGGTGGAGCAGCAGCGTGGTACCTGACTCAGCGACAGCAGCAGCAGGAACAGCCCCTCCCCTCGCAGCAGCCACAGCAGCAGGTTTCGGGGCAGGCGTCAGGACATCGTCAGCTGCAGCGCGGTGTCGTCCACCCTCCCTGCACCTATCACGTTCTGACAGGTGCCCGCCGCGGCCAGCCTTGTGGCCGCAGCCACCCACCGGGTCAGTGCTTTGCTCAGCTTACTGACACGGTTCGATTGGTCTACGGCGTTGACGGCCCTGCCCCTGACTGGCTTCCCCTTGTTCAGACGTACAGCCCCGCTCTGTGGGGCATGTCGGCTTCTCAGTTGGTTGATCTCTTAGGAACTCCTCATGCTATGTATGCTGTTGTTGACTCTAGTGCTTCTGACTCTGTTTACTTGAGTGTTGTTAGCTTAGGTGTTAGTCTTGCTGAGGTGCCTGTTGCTAGTGTAGATAATTGTGTAGACACTAGTCCAGGAGCTGCTCCGGAGGACGCTTCGCTGTCTTTCACTTTGGACTCTGGAGCTTCGCACTGTTTCTTCCGCGACCGCACGACACTTACCCCGCTTCCTACGCTGGTCTCTGTAGCACTGGCTGATCCCACTTCGGGACCAGTCACTGCTCGCTACACTACTACGCTTTCGTGCCCGGCTGTTCCCTCCGGTTCTCTGACTGGCTTCCACGTCCCCTCGTTCTCGAGGAACTTGGTGGGCGTGAGGCCGCTCGTGAGTCAGCACGTGGGTGTGTGGATTGAGCCTTCTGGCGAGACTGCGGTTTGTGTCGACGGGGACACGTGCGCGCCTCTCGCCACCTTTACCGCTGAGCCGGGCTCTGGTCTCTACACACACTGGCCCCCAAGGGCAGCTGCAGCAGCAGCAGCAGCAGCAGCAGCAGCAACAGCAGCAGCAGCAGCAGCAGCGGCAGCAGCAGGAGCAGCAGCAGCGGCAGCAGCAGCTACTGCCCCCGACCCCTGTCACTGTCCCCCGTCAGGTTCCCGCGTCTCACCAGGTTGCCGCGTCTCCCCAGGTAGCTGTGTCTGATCAGGTTCCAGTGTCTAGTCCAGTTGCTGCGTCGTGCTCCTGCCGGTCGCTTGCCCACCCCACTGTTTTGTGGCACCACCGGATGGGGCACCCGTCCATTTCTCGCCTGCGCGCTATGTCTAGTCAGCGTCTTGTCTTAGGCCTCCCGCGTGTCTTGCCGTCGTTGCCGCCTTCGCTTGCGCCACCCTGCGGTCCCTGGGTCGAGGGTCGGCTGCGCGCCACCCCTCACTCGTCCTCCCTTTGTCCGGCCACCGAGCCCTTCGAGACTCTCCACTTGGACGTCTGGGGCTCCGCCTCGCGCCCTAGCCCTGAGCGAGAGAGTTTCTTTCTCGTGGTCGTTTATGACTACTCCCGCTACACCACAGTGTTCCCCCTGGCGAAGAAGTCTGACGTGACTTCTACGCTGATCCGGTGGTTGCTTACCACTGCGGACACTCGTGGTCGTCGTGTCAGCTGTCTTCACTCCGACCGCGGGGGTGAGTTTTGCTCTGGCGTTCTCGCTGGATTCTGTCACGAGCAGGGCATCCGTCAGTCTTGGAAGCTTCCAGAGTCCCCACAGCAGAATGGGGTTGCTGAGCGCCGCATAGGCTTGGTCGTGGAGATCGCCCGCACCTCCATGACTCACGCCCGTGCCCCCCATTTTCTGTGGCCCTACGCGGTTCGGTACACCCCTCACCAGCTGAACCTCTGGCCACGTGTCTCTCGGCCAGAGGTTTCACCGACCAGTCTTTGGACCGGGTCCCCTGGTGTTGCGTCGCGTTTTCGTGTCTGGGGTTGCTTGGCACTTGTTCGCGACACCTCCGTGGACAAGATCTCGCCTCGCGCTGTTCCCTGCGTGTTCCTTGGTTTCCCTGAGGACTCCTCTGACTACACCTTTTACCACCCTCCCCTTCACCGGTTCTTTGACTCTCGTGACGTCCGTTTCGACGAGTCCGTCCCCTACTACGTCAGGTACCCCTGTCGAGGTCTCCCGGTTCCTCCTCCCCCTCTCTTCCTGACTTCAGCTCCCCCTCCTGCTCCCCCAGTACAGCCTCCCCCCCCTGGTCCCGCCCCGTCAGGTGTGTCCCACGCTACCCCTCCTCCTTCGGTAGTCCCTCAGGTGCAGCCTCCTTCCCCGCAGTCCTCCTCCCAGCCTACAGCAGACCCTGCGGGAGCCGGTTTTCGTGGCGAGGACCCTGGAGGTGCTAGCTCTAGAGGTGCTGGAGTTGGAGCAGAGAGCGTACCTGTGCGAGGTCCTGGTTCTGGGGTGCTGGAGTTGGAGCTGAGCCCGTGACTGCAGGAGACTCTAGTCTTTGGGGAGCTGGTGTTAGTGGAGATGTCCTTAAAGGTGCTACGACTGGGGGTGCACCCTGTGCTGGACCTGGAGAGCCTGGGACGGACCCTGTTACTTCTGGTGGTGCTGGCTCTGGGGGTGGTGCGACTGGTTCTTTGGAGAGCGGTCCTGGGGCTACCACTGCTCCGGACACTACTCCTCCCCCCCACCCCTACCCGACCCGGCACCAGGCCCGTGTTCTCCGTGCCCGTGAGGAGCAGCTGGAGTTGGAGCGAGAGGAGAGAGAGTTGGAGCGGCAGCAGCTGGAGCTACAGCGGCTGGAGGAGCAGCAGCAGCAGCAACAGCAGCAGCAGCCGGAGCAGGAGCAGCCGCAGCAGCAGCCGCAGCAGCAGGAGCAGCAGCAGCCGCCGCAACTGGAGGAGCAGCGGTCGCAGCCGCTGCAGGAGCAGCAGCAGCAGCCACCTCCTCCTCCTGTCTCTGGTCTTCGGACCCTCAGTCTCCCCTCTCCTTCTCCTCCCTCCCCCCCCTCTCCTCCCGTCTCTGGTCCTCCGCTTCCTCCTCCTGACCCCTCCCCAGCTGTTTTCCCTCCTCCTCTGCCCCCGTTGTCCCCTCCTCTTTCTCACACTTGGCCTTCACGTCGCTCTCCTCGTACTCGTCCCTCGTCCCCTGTTCCTTTCACTGACCTTCGTACTGCCCTGTTTTGTTCTAGTCCGCCTCGTTCG